ATGGCTTGATGAAAGTGAAGAAGACTTGAAGCACTTACTGATGAAGATCAAAGACTACAGCCTTCCACATGGATTACACCTTACCATAAAAAAACAAAAATCCTCACAACTGGACTAAGAAGCAACATTATGATAAATGGATAATAGGCTGAATTTGTCAAGGATTTCATTTTACTCAGATCCACAATCAATGGCCATGGAAGCAGCAGTCAAGAAAGCAGATGTCATATTACACTGGGAAAATCAGCAGCAAAAGACCTCTTTAAAGTGTTAAAGAGCAAAGATGTCACTTTGAAGACTAAGGTGAGCCTGACACAAGCCACGGTCTTCTCAATACCCTCATACGCATGTGAGAGTTAGATAATGAATAAGGAAGTCTGCAGAAGAAGTGAGGCATTTGAGTTGTGTTGTTTAAGAATACTGACTGTACCATGGACTGCTAAAAGAACAAACAAATCTGTCTACCATGGATTGTTAGAAGACCGAACAAATCTGTCTTGGATGAAGTACTGCTGAAGTGTTCCTTACAAGTGAGAATGGCCAAACTTCATCTCATACTTTGCTAATGTTATCAGAATCCTGGAGAAAGATACCATGCTATGTAAAGTAAAAGATCAACAAAAAGGGCAAAGACCCTCAACAGGATGAACTGACCCAATGACTCTGTAAATGGGCTCAAACATGGCAACTCTAGTGAGGAAGGTACAAGACTGGGCAATATTTCGTTCTGTTGTACATAGGGTCACTATGAGTCAAAGCCAACTTGATGGCACCTACAAAAACATCAATATTACTGTTATAATTATTACCATATCTACCAATACCACCACTACCTCTACAATTACATTTCTATTTTTCTGCAGCTAAAGCTGAAGAAAAATTTCCATAAAAATCACTTTCCAGCTAGAACTAGCTTAATATGTTTGTTCAAAATAAATCTAATACATGAAATATGAACATGGACAATTAACCCTATTATTGTTTCCCAATTATTATAGAAGATAATTCTGTCAAATTTTATAGTATCTCATATGCCAGGGATTTTCCTAAAAGGAGAATCAAGGACATTAATTATAAATATGAAACATAAAGATAACCCTCAGGGTATAAACTGAGGCTTGGTGAAAGTGAAGAAGACTTGAAGCACTTACTGAGGAAGAGGCAGGATTTAAGATTCTTATCACTAGTAGCCTGGGGGTAATGTGCATTTATAAATTATATCTCTAGTCTTGACATTGAAGTAATTAAAAATATGTAATAAATCATTCATTTTTTCAATTTGCTTTTCTAAGAAAATTAATGTGATTAATTAATGGAGTGATGCCTATGTATTTATTTGAGAAATTAGAATGAATATAATTGTTTCTTCCTGAAAATGTTCTCTTCAAGGATATTAATTGTATATTGTTTCCTAAATAACTATTTTTCTTCCATCTGGCATAATCTTTTATTATTTATTTTATTATTAATAGGAGCTTTATTTAATCTTTGGTTGTAGGGGCGAATACACGCAGCAGAACATACACCAACTGAACAATTTCTACATGTGCAATTCAGTGGCATTGATTACATTCAAGTTGTGCAGCCATTCTCACCCTCCTTTTCTGAATTGTTGCTTCTACACTAACATAAACTCACTGCCCCCTAAGGTTCCTATCTAATCTTTTTGATTTGCTGTTGTCAGTTTGATCCCATGCAGACAGTTCTTAAAAGACCACAGTGCTCAAGGGAGACATTCTTTACCTGTTGTTCTGGTTACCTAGTGCCGCTTTGACAGGAAATATACCACAAGTGGGTGGCCTTAATAAACAGGAGTTTATTCTTACAATTTGGAGGCTTTAAGTCCAAGTTCAAAGTGCCAGGCTCTAGGGGCTGGGTGAAAGCCTCTCAGCCTTGGGGTCCAGCTCTGCCTCCTGCTCCTGGCCCACTGGAGCTAGAGACATTTCTTCACACAGACAGCTGCAGGCTTCTGAGGCTGAGAAGCCCCAAGATTGACAAGTCAAAAGGCATAGTCCTGATATTACCAATACACATGGCAGGGCATTAACTTAAGTCCATTGTAAGTCCCAAGGTCGGCAGAGCATAGCAGGCTGCTGAGCAGTGACACGGCTACATGCAGGGTCCAAGCGTGCCATAGGCTAGAGACCATTCTCAAAGCTTCTCCTTACATACAGGAAGCAGACCACATCCCAAAGGCAGCTACTCAGCTGCTTGTGGTAAATCCCACCATGGAGTTGATTACCAGTCTCATGCTGCGGAATAACTACCACCAGCTGCCCAGCCACTCAAACAGGCTCAGCCAAGTTGACACACAAACATAACTACCACACCTTTTAAGCTACACTATGGTTTTACAAAGACTTCAAGGGCCGTATTTAGTTTACGGTTTAAAGATTATTCAGAGCCATAGCTTCAGGGGTTCATCCATCCTCCATGGCTTCATAAAATCTGGATTCTGTGTGAATCTGAAAATCTGTTCTGCATTTTTCCTTCTTTTAATTAAGGTTCTTTTATTGAATCTTTGATCAAAACATTCAGTAATGGTAGCTGGGTACCATCCACTTCTGGTCTCACAGCAAAGGAAACCACTGTTCATAGAGACAATCAACCACACATTCCATTTCAACCTCCTATTCCTGACTCATTTTTCCTCTAGTGCTGCAGGTGAATAGAGATAAATTATTGGATTTTGGATGGCCACTTGCAAGACACTGCACAACAAACTAGGAGGTGGAACAGAAGCACTGTGGTATTAGACATGGTATTAGACAACTAAGATGTCCCATGATAGCATGATGTTTAAACCTCTAAATCAAGAAACAAAATTCCATGAGGTGTTTGGTTGTACATACGCAGCCTCAGCAACTGCTCTTTTTTGTTGTTGTTGTAGGTATATCTATCACACACTTTTATTATTTTACACCTAGCATAATCTTTATTTTTCTGAGTGATTTTAACCAGAGACTTTATTAATTTGCATTTTTCCTTTTCCTTGGGGATTAAGAGAAATAATTTAAAATTACTACTGCTTGTCCAACTTGATGGCATTGAGGTTTTTTTTTTTTTTTTTTTGAGTAGGTATATTACTTTCTAAATTATTCAAATTATTTCTTTTAGTTTTTTACAATATATTTATGCCACAGAGTAAAATAATAATAACAATAAAGTCATTAATGTTATTATTTACCTGGAAAATCATTAGCTTTATTTTTATTCCACTGAAATTAGACTGAGAGAACTATATTTAGTTTTTAGCAAAAGGTGAAAAGAGAAAACAAATGAAACTTTAATAAATAATAAAAACACAGAGACAGATGAGGGCCAGCAAAAACTTACAATGATACTAACTATATGTTGGTTGGAAATTCACTGGTAGTCTGTTTTTTATGAGAAAGACAAAGCAGTATGGAAAGCAACATAAATTCTAAACTAATCTATTTTACAATATCCATTTTCTTTCAATCCACATATTTTCAAACATAGTAAAAAACAGAAACTCAATAATGACCAGAATTAATGGTTAGATGGAGTCTGGTGAGACCCCCAATACTATGGCCCTGGGATACATTCTGGGCCTGGAATAAAACTCACTCCCAGGGCTGGCTCTCTGCCCAATAGTAAACAAGATGTACATGCAGACCACTCAACCCAGGGTGGTGCACCCACATACTCTATGGAAATGCATCCTTTGGAGCAATTGACTACGGGGCACCAGAGGGACAACATTCGCAGGGAGGAAATGCAGTACACAAGGAATGCATAACTATGAGGGGCACGGTGTCGGGGGTACTAGGCAGGGAGGGGAGGAGACTGGGTTAGGGTTGGGATGGTAAATGGGGAGTGAAACTAAATGTACACATAATGTTGAATGTAAAACAAACTCTGCTCTGTAAACTTACACCAAAAGCACAATTTTAAAAAAAAATTAGAACACACTATATAATTAGTACAAGGTTTGTAAAAAATGCAGAATTAGAATTCATAACAACAGTAGCATAAAATTATGGAAAACGTAAATTGAATCAAAGAACTCTGAAATCCTTAAATGGACAAGATGGAAAAGAAAAAATATTGAGTACTATTACTTTGATAAACGGGGGGTATAACCTACTATTTCTAGAGTAACTGAAGAAAGAATGGAAATATAGAACATAATTTCTTCATACAAGACAAAAAAAATATTTGGAACAATGAATTTTTTAGAGTTTGTCAAGATTAGTTATTGAGTCTGTAAGAAAATCTATATTATTCTCAAAAGTTAGTCATTTTAACATTTATGATCAAATAAACTATGGTAGTACAGGTAAAAGAAAAACTCATGAATGTGATGTTTTGCTTCAACACTTATTTAGGGGAAGATTTATTCAAGTATCTCATTGTATACACAAATTAAAACTAAATCTAAGTAAAACAGAACCTTGCAAATTCAATTACTGATAATTAAATCAATGTAGAGTTTTGAATTGTTGAGATAAGTTATTTTATTTGTAGCCCACATTTAGTGATTTGTATATACCCTTTATAAGATTACAGCCATTATCTATGAGGCATGTATAATTATTCCACCACTCAGCTCTCAGTCTGTCGTACTCTGGTGGCTTGCATGCTGCTGGAAGCTGTGTCACTAGTATTTCAAACACCAGTAGGGTCATCCACAGTGGACAGGTCTCAAGACTAAGACAGACCAGGAAGAAGGACCCAGTGATCTACCTCTAAAACAACTGGCCAGTGAAAATCTTCTGAATAACAACTGGGCAGTGTTTTGTTCTGTTGTACATAGGGTCACTATCAGTCACAACCGACCCTATGGCACCTGACAACAATAACAAATAAGTCATTACTAAAAACTAAATGTATATAGACACACTTATCAGACTAAATCAATCATATTATTAATAATATAGAATAAATTATCTTATATTGCTTGTGTATGTAGGTGTGTGCTTGTGACAAGGAAAAAACAAGTATGATAAACTGGAGACGTAATGCTCTTGGCATAATTAAACATAAATTGGGATTCTATGTTTCTGAAATAAAATGAAAAGGCAAAATTACAAGTTACCAGATTTTCAATATCAGAGTGACAAAAACACATTAAAAACTATTATACATTATTAGTTTTAAAATATTAATATAGAAGAAAAAAAGGTTAATACTGATATACCCACCAAAAATACATTAAAGTAAGATAACATAATAGTAAACAAAGTTTAACAAAAATACGAAGGACGTATTTCTAAAGTTAATTTTACTAACCTGACTTATTTTTCTTTGTTCTTGTATAGCTTTTTGAATTTCCTGAGATACTTTTTCTTGATCTTTTGCATGTTCAGTCTTCCATAATTCCCTTTCTTCAGCATGGGCTTTTTCCAAATTTCTCCTTTCTTCTTCTATGGCTTTTAAAACTGCATCTTGCATCACTTCCTTCTCAAGCTTCAAAACAAATGATGACCAATAAACGAACAAACCAAAAAAAAAAAAAAAAAAGTGACTAAGAAATAATTCCTTAAATAAGACAAACTTGGTTAAACACAGAGACAAAAACTTTGATCTACAGGGTTTTAGTTTAGTTTAAAACTACTGTTTTAATGGACATTTAGTAACTGCTGTAAAATAAAATCTGTTTTTTACATAAATATTACTGTCAATTTCCATGGTATTTCTAAACTTCAAGAAAACCAAGACTTAGCTTAAAGTAATGGATCTTAAACTATTTGGTCTCAGGAACCCTTTATAGTCTTAAAAATTATTTACTATTCCAAAGGACTTTTGTTTATTTTGGATGTATACTTTAATATTTACCATATTAGAAATTCAAACTAAGAAATATTTAAAACATGTGTTTATTAATTATTTTAAATTAACAATATTAAATTATTATATATTAAAAAGTAATATATTTTATGAAAAAATGTATACTTCTAAAAATTAAAAAAGAGAAGAGTATCTTCCATTCATGTTTTTAAATCATTTTAATAAGTGACTTAATAGCAGACAGTTAAGATTCCACCCCTGGTATATGGACTAGCACACAGTGATTGGCACATCAATATTTGTTTATTAAATTTAACTTTAAATGCACAAGTCCAAAGTTAGTGCTGTATATGTATTTGTTGGTATGTGTATATTTAATATCTGTGAATAAACAACTTTTTGTTGTTGTTGTTATGTGCCGCTGAGTTGGCCCCGACTCATAGCGACAATACTTGGGTATTTTAAAATAGGCTTTAAAAAACTCAGCTATCTTAATGAAAGTACATACATACATATACACATTATTTTGGCAATACCTATCAAATACCAGGTGGACATTAGTGTGTCTCATAAAATGTATATTAAAATGTAACTCATAATATATAACTAATTTCATTGTCATCTTAATCTGGCAATGTGAATTGAACAAGAATATGAATAGTTGTTTCCTAAACTTAAGAGGAAAAATAAGAAAGAAAAAAAATCTAATTTTTCTGAAATGAAACTTGATGCAAAAATAGACTGAACTTGGTGTTAAATAACACTACTTACAAAGAAACTCATTATTACACATGAAAATACCTTTGCAGCAGATACTAATGCCTCTTTATTTCGTTGCCTTTCTTCTTCCAAACATTTTTCTAATATTTCCTGTAAATTATAAGACAGTTGGGTAGAAACTAAATAAATTAATTGAGGTAACAGAATACATTCTGAGTACACTTAAAATATTACCTTCTGTTCTTGAGATTGCTCAATCAAAGCTTCCTTTATTTTTTCTTTTAACAGCTCCTTCTCTGTATCTAGTATCTCCAGGAGCCTCTGATGCTACAAGAAAAGATAATTGAGTTATGAATATGACTCTGACACAGATAATCTAACAAGAAGGAGTACAGCTGCTGGAATTCAAATGCCTAGAAGTACTGCAGTAGTGTACAGAGAAAACAAAGGTAAGTTTGCTAAAAGGCAGGCTTTGTTGTTATTAGGTGCCATCAAGTCATCTCTGACTCATAGTGATCCTATGTACAGCAGAACGAAACACATGCCAACTCCATGATCTTTGCTATACCTGAGCCCATCATTGTAGCCACTGTGTCAATCCAGGCTTAGGAGCCAAAAAACACAGAATTTGTTTTTCACCAATCAGCCAAGACACATTTTTAGCCCACAAACTCAACAAAGTACCTAAGACTTAACAAGTATTCCAAATTGGAAAGTAACTGAAAAAATGATAACATGTCTTTTCAAAAATTCAAATTTAGAAAAAAAATTATTGACTAAAATGATTATTATTGGCTTGTAGCAACAATCATATGGTAACTGAAAAAAAGCTTGAACAAAGATCATAAAAAGATTACTGGTGTTTGCAGGAAAGTGATATTAAAGAAAATGAAAGATTTATTAGTTATTATTCTCACTCCAAGATTTTATCACAGATTCTATAAATGAATTTATGAAAACAGACAAAGGAACATGCTAATGATAAGTAATGTTAAAAGGCACAAGTTCATGTATTTACTTCTATTTCAAAGAAGTAATGAAAAAGCCAGGACAGATGGCGGGGACAGGTAAGGGGAGAGCCCCAGGCAGGAAGCTGTAGCCAGGGCAGACAGCTGGAACAGGTAGGGGAAAGGCCAGGAAGTGAGCTAAGTAGTTTGGAACAACTAAGCGAGACAAACTTGTCTGTCAATTTGTCATACTGTGGTGGCTTGTATGTTGCTGTGAGGCTGGAGGTTGTGCCACTGGTGTTCCAAACGCCAGCAGGGTTGCCCATGATGGCTGGGTGTCTGTGGAGCTTCCAGACTCATACAGACTCAGAAGAAGGAAAAGGCCATTCACTTCTCAAAGAACTGCCCAATGAAAACCTTAGGAATAGCAGTGAAACACTGTCTGATATATTACTGGGCAACTTTAATAATAGCCCTGAATTATTGTCCTAAACAGTATTAGAAGATGACCCCTCAGGTTGGAAGGCATTCAAAATACGACTGGGAAAGAGCTGCCTCATCAGAGTAGAGTCAACATTAATGATATGGATAAAGTAGAGCTTTTGGAACCTCCATTTGCTGATGTGCCATGACTCAAAATGAGAAGGAACAACTGCAAACATCCATTAATAATCGGAACATGAAATGTAAGAAGTATGAATCTAGGAAAGCTTGAAGTTGTCAAAAAATGAAATGGAACACATAAAGATTGACATTCTAGGCATTAATGAGCTGAAATGGACTGGTTTTGGCCATTTTGAATCAGAGAACCATATGATCTACTATGTCAGGAATGACACATTGAAGAGGATCGGCATGGCATTCATCATCACAAAGAGTGTTTCAAGATCTATCCTGAAGTACAGTGGTATCAGTAATAGGATAATATCCATATGCTTACAAGGAAGGCAGCTAATACTACTATTCAAATTTACACAACAGCCAGCAATATATCAGACAGTACTTCACTGCTATTCATAAGGTTTTCACTAGCCAATTCTTTGAGAAGTAGATGGCCTCTCCCTTTTTCCAAGTCATACACAGATGACACAGCTTTGTTTGCTGAAAGTGAGGATGACTTGAAGCAATTACTGAAGAAGATTAAAGACTATAGTCTGCAATAGGATTACATCTCAATATTAAGAAAACAAAAATCCTCACAACTGGTCCAATAAACAGCTTCATGATGGATGGAGAAAAGATTGAAGTTGTCAAGGATTTCATATTACTTGATTCTACAATCAAGACCAATGGAAGCAGCAGTCAAGATATCAAATGACATATAGCACTGGGCAAATCTGCTGCAAAAGACATCTTTCAAATGCAGAAGAGCAACGATGTCTCCTTGAAGACTAAGGTGTGCCTGGCACAAGCCGTAGTATTTTCAATCACCTCATATGCCTGTGAGAACTGGACAATGAATAAGGAAGATCAAAGAAGAGTCAATGCTTTTGAGTTGTGGTGTTGGTGAAGAATGCTTAAAGTACAATGGACTGCTAAAAGAACTAACAGCTCTGTTCTGGAAGAAGTGTAGGTGGAATGCTTCTTGGAAGTGAGAATGCCCAGACTTTGTCTTACTTACTTTTGTCATGTTGTAAGGGCCATTCCCTGGGGAAAGATATCATGCTTGGTAAAGTGGAGGGTCAACGAAAAAGGGGAAGGCCCTCAATAAGATGAACTGACACGCCGGCTACAATGATGGACTCAGGTATAGAGGGAATCCTGGGGTTGGCACAGGATTGGGCAGTGTTTTGTCCTGCTGTACATAGGGTCACTATGATTTGGTGATGACTCAACAGCACCTAACAACAAATGAAAAAGCATACAGAATCATCAGCTAGTTATCATGACCAGTTTGAATGGAGGTTTCTAATAAAATATGACTTTTGTAGCCTCAATGTCCTCAGTACAGATGAGTCTGATACTCTTTTGGAATATATAAAGTGTTATGTGGAAACAAACCCCAAAAGAAATGATATATTGCTCTTGTTATTGTTAGGTGCTGTTTAATCAGTTCCAACTCATGGTGACCCAACGTACAGCAGGATGAAACACTGCCTGACCCTGTGCTATTCTAACAATTGTTGCTATGTTTGAGTCCACTGTTGCAGCCACTGTGTCAATCCATCTTGTGGAGTGTCTATTTTTCATTGACTCTCTATCAAGCATGATGTCCTTCTCCAAGGACTGTCCCCTTCTTGAGAACATGACCAAAGTAGAAGAAACAAAGTCTCACCATCCTTTTAAGGAACATTCTGGCTATACTTCTTCCAAGACAGATTCATTTGTATTTCTGGCATACTCCATGCTATATTCAGTGCTCTTCACCAACACCATAATTCAAAGTCATCAAGATAATATACAGATCAATACAGAAGAAGCTTTATACTTTTTTAGAACATATAAAGCCTTATGTGGAAACAAACTCCAAAAGAAAATATACATTGCAACTTACATAGATTTCTCATTCTGTTACTAAAGGCAAATGAAATATCATTTCTGATTTAGAATACTATTTATATACAAAACAAAACAAAAAAACCAGTCACTGTCCTTGAGTCAATCCTGACTCATAATGACCCCTATTGGGTTTCCAAAGCTGTAAATTTTTACAGAACCAGACTGCTGCATCTTTCTGCCACCAGAATAGTTGGTGAGTTCGAACCACTAACCTTTCAGTTAGCAGCCAAATGCCCTAACCACAATACCACCACAACTTCTTATTTACATACAAGTCTCCTTAAATGTGAACTTATTCTGACACCCAATATTTAAAAATAGTTCTAATATCTTTCAAAGTTGTCCTAATGTAAAACACTTTTTTTTTTTTGGGAGGCAGTCTATATTGACAGTAAGTGACCAAACAGTTCATGTTTAGTTAAGATAATCTATTATTCCTGTTTTTAATTATAATATTACTTTTTATCTATCTTTTCAAGAAAGCAAGAAAACTCACATGAAAGATGTGGTTTTTCTTTAAAAACAAATCCAAACTGTGATACAAATCATGAAATGATTATGAGAAGTTATTGGTACCATATGAATCTGTGAAAGGCAGCTGACTAACAAATGAGTCAACTTGCCACATGATGTATAAGAATAATAACTGAGACTTTAATTTTGTATTCTGTGTAAGTAAAATAAAGGCACAAGCAATTTTTATGATATCAGATATAATACCTAACCCGATTTAAAACATATACAGATAGAAAAATAAGCACCCCACATCCGCTTGGTGAACGGAGGTGCAGCCATCCCCCACTCCCATGTACCTTCTCGGCCCACAGGAACTCCATCACAGTCTGTGTGCTCAGACGGAGCCTGGGTGCCCTGCTCTGTCCTCCACCAATTTTTTTTTTTTTACTTTTATTTTTTTCTTTTTCGCTTTCTTTTTTCTGGTGATTAGTTTGTTTGTATTTGTCGGTTTTAAAACAACTAATATTGTTAATACTTTTGTCCTTTTTATTATTATTCTTAATCTTCCCCTTCCCAGGTCCTAGTTTTCAGCATTTCTTCTTTCCCTGTGCCTGGTTGAAATCTTTTTTTTTTAATTGAAGGTTTTTTTTTTTTCTTCTTCTTCATTTCCCCCTTTTTTCTCCTGGATAACCCTGTTCCTTGATTTTCTTTTTGCATTTTTCCCATTTTTTTTCATTTATAATTCTCCTTCACTACTTTTTTTTTCTTAGTGTCCTATCCCCAGATATTGCAGATTTGCTTGTTTTTTCTTCTTGTTTTTCACTTTTTTCTTTTTTACACAGGTTACTGTTCCTGTGTGATTACATGGTGTTTTTCATCCATGGGCTTTTAGTTTTTTGATAGTTATTCAATTGTAATTTGTGTCTAACTGAGTGGGAGACAACAACTGAGTGGGAGTCCCCATAAGACACAACTACACCCAAACCTCCTGCAATTTCACTTACTGAGCGAGAGCCACTATCTCCTTCTCCACCAAAGGGCCAACGATAAAAACCACCAAGAAGAGCCTGAATCACCCTTGGCTGCTCTTCACAGTTAACAGATATCTAAATATAACAATGCCACGATGCCTCGAAAACAACAGACCATCACAGTCCACACAAAGAAGCAGGATAAAGTGGTAGAAACAAGGGAGCAGGATACAGACCCAGAA